TGTAGATAATCAACGATGATTATCTCTGTCGAATGATTGAGGGTCTATTCGAGCTAGACAGGAATCATGCGATGAACCAGCTAATTTCGAAGTCACACTTCACGATCATCATCTAAAATGGATTGCCCCCCCTTCGATGTACTAATGTACTATGGCTGCTTTGAAGACTGTATAACACAGAGGACGTTGTTACGGAAATATATTAGTAAGAATAAGTACAGAGAAGATAGCGAGACCACCACCGTATGGACCAGTCCATGGCATACAATTAACTGATGTGTTTCCTTGACTTTGACGATGATCGATGATCCGTTCGTTATTCATAGACCCAACAGTCGGATGACTTGGCTAGGGCTCAGTGACATTTCACTGGCCCTACAATATCATTTAAATGATTTTGATATTTTTTAACTGTCGCTTTGATGCTTGTTATAGTGTTACTACTTATTTAGTTTGTAGATTTTCGAATTCTACTGGATTATTAGATCGTTTTTGTGTAGCTTAAATATTCCTTGGTATGATTCGAGATTTCACAAGAAGTCTCTCTATTATAAAAGACGTCACAATCTACACAACTCAATCTGTCAAAAAAATTCGGTGTTGAAGTAAATGGGGTCTCTCCCTTTATTTGAATAATGACATTAAAAGTATGTTAGCCGGTTTATAGAATACTTTAATTCTGTATCGATTTAGGGTTTGTAGCTCTTCTGTTGTAACATAGCTGTAAGATAAAACTACAGTTCTCCCAAATTCTAATCTAAATTCCTTATGTCCCTTTCTATTTTCTCTTTCCAAATTTACTTCACTGGATTATACTCTTTGAATAAAATCTTCAAACTCTAATCTTTCCGATTACTGCTTATACTCTTACTACCTCTACCACTACAGAATTTGAATCGATAACTGCGTCTCTGTACTAATGTGGTATGCAACTCAAACTGATGTACGTACGTACGAAGTTCTACGTTGTTGATGATTGACTGACAGAATTGATTTAAATAATTGTTCAACATCAAATCATTTTATTTTAGTACATTTTTAAAGAACATTCATGAGAAGAAAAGATGAATGGTGGCTAGTAATGGAATCTAGGATGCTAGTTTTCTCGTATTTGGGACTCGTCATCTGGATGTACCTGCATTCAAGAGTCGATGTTCACACACATAGTACACATATGTCAACAAGTGATTGATCAATTGCAGTCTTTAACAATAATGAGAAGATATCAGCAAACAATACCAATGATCCTTTAAGACCATTATTAGCAGATGTGTTTATGGCACATGTTGAAAATCTGACTGAAGACCTAATCAAAAACATGTCACTTTATAAGAGATATGTGGACGATATCTTAGTTGTTTGTGAAAAAAAGGAGGATATGAACTTTTTATTGAATAAACTTAACATTCTCCAAAACCACATCAGTCTCTCATGTCAAGAGGAGAAGAACGATCAACTTACCTTCCTAGATATACTTCTGAGTGGACGAGAAGATTGCTCAATCAAACAATCCATTTCTAGGAAACTAATGTGGACAGGTCATTACAGACGGGGTTTGATAAGATGCCTATTCAACAGGCTTGATCGTATTTGTACAAATGACGTCATTGATAATGATATTATGTTGCTAAATAAAACAGTGGAAAATGGCTATCCTTTGAAATTCATAAATAGATAGGAAATGCATGGCACAGTGAGACCTACTATAGCTTTGTCAGAGAAAAAGCCTGTTTACATCACCTTACCATTTTAGAGGTGATTCAAATAGCCTTTTATTGAAACAAAGGCTTAAGTCAATCATTAACACAAGATATATTGTGCAGCTAAGGTTATTATCAAGGAAACAATATGGTTCATGCTTCATCGAAAACCTTAAACACAAGAAAACGATTGCGTCACATCACACTGTGTTTATCAATTTAAATGTGTGTGTGGTCACACATACATAGGGAGGAGTAATCGTGATCTCAAAATTAGGATGTGTGAACATGCACCTACATGGTTGCAGAACACAAATACAATCAAGTAATTCAATAAGAGTAGCGGATAAACATCCATCATCCTCTATGGCCAAACACATAATTGAAACAGGTTATAAGATTGATGTTAACTCAGCTTTTGTGGTGTTGTACAAAAGTGTAAAAAAGGTCGTTTATTAAAAACTTAGCCATACGAAAATTCAAACCCCCTTTGTGTATTCAAAACCTACCCTGGTAATATTAGTTTATTATCCAGAAATGATGAGGTTCCGAATTGTTAAAGAGAGCAAAAACAAAGATTGGTGCAGAATAATATGAATTCATTTTATTTCGTTAGGTTCTTATCAGCTTACTTCGTATCCGTTGGCCGGACACTATTAGCAACAACGTACTGTGGGAGAGAACAAACCAGATCCCAGCGGAGAAAGAAATTAGGAAGAAGCGCTGGAAGTGGATAGGATACACATTGAGGAAAGCACCCAACTGCGTCACAAGACAATCCCTCACATGGAATCCTCAAGGCCAAAGGAGGAGTGGAAGACCAAAGAACACATTACACCGGGAAATGGAAATAGACATGAGAAAAATGAACAAGAATTGAATGGAAATAGAAAAGAAGGCCCAGGAGAGAGTGGGTTGGAGAATGCTGGTCGGCGGCCTATCATCCACTGGGAGTAACAGGCGTAAGTAAGTAAGTCTCACCAGCTGCTTACAACCTAAATTTTTTTTAAATTCAGCATTATTACAGATATTGACATATTTATACATAAGATGGTGATTAAGGATGAATAAATGTATTATTATCAGTATGGGGGTTGTGGAGATTGTTAAGTTTTTGGTTGAGATCATGTATTAATTGATGTTAGACCACCGCTGGAAACCTGGAAGCACTGAACGGCCGTTTCGTCCTAGTATGGGACTCCTCAACAGCGCGCGAAGATTCCGACAGAGTTGAGAGGGAAGGTTCCGGAACATTGAAATGGTGATAAGAACTCATGAAAATAGATTAATGGTAATAAAGAAACTATATGAATTGAAATCAATCAGTTATGTATGATGTAATTTGAAAGAGTTGGAGTAATGACGCAATAAATAAATAGAGAAATAAATGAATAAAAATGGGGTTATTGTTACCAGGGTAAAGAAAGATTTATTACTGTCTCTTTTTGTATACATAGATCTGGTTTTAAACGTTTGATTGCTAATGCTTCAGCGAATTTCAGAAGGTTGGAGCTTGATTGTTTATTAATCATCTTGAAGGACTTCGGTGTATCGAATTCGTGTCCTGTGTCAAGGAGATGTTTTGCGATGGCACTGTTGAATGCTTTCAATCTATTTGATGTTAAACTTTTCGGACTATGTTCGTTCCAGTAGAAAGATTAAAAATGATTAATCGGTCTAAAGGTTAGAACAAATATAGAAGTGTCATGACAGATTTACTAAGATATATCTCGACAAAAAACGATGAATAGATATTATTTCATCAATTAGCATCAGATCTAGTGTGTATGGGAACCAAATATAATATGCGTTATACCAATCCTATATTGTGTAGTGGCTTGACATTGACGTAGTTCTTTAGGCTTCGTTTATTAATCCCCCTGATAACCTTTATTAAATAAATCCCAATAGTGTATCAATTCAGAAGGCAATAACACAAAGAGCCAACTACAGTTTATCATTTAGCCCTGATTACAAAACTACAAACAAGGTACATCAAGTGAATTTAAGCAGAAATACTAATACTCAGGAGTAAACAAATACAGCGGTAAATCAATCAATAAGATTCAAGCATATATATATGGAAAACGAAAGATTGATCGAGCGATATTTAAGCGACCAACCGACCGAGAGAGCGAGAGAGAGAGAGATGTACGTAGGCTGTCACATGTAATCAAGCCTACATGTATATACAGACATGGTAATAATAATAATAATAATACAAAGCAATAGACGAATTGTTACTGTTCAAATAACACTATCTATTAGACCAGTTAATTAAGAGGCTTGACAATATTAACCGTAAATAAATTTGATTGTAGGATCGGTGCCACGATGTACCAAACGTATAACACTGAATTAAGTCGTTAATAACAATAATAATAATAATAATAATAATAATAATAGAAAAGAGTATTGTGGAAATTTTAGTAATTTAATAGTTGAATTCATGAGTCATGGATGCGCATTATTGAGGAGCCCCGTACTAGGATGAAACAGCCGTCCAGTGCTTCCAGGTTTTCCATGGTGGTATAGCTTTAATTGACTGATGAATTCAACCATTAAATGATAATAATAATAATAATAATATCAATCATAATAATAATAGTAATAATAATAGAAATGAAGCGGTAAGACTGAAGAAAACAAGCAGTAAAAGTAAGAGTATAATCAAGGGGAGAAAAGTTAACAAGAATGATTTATAATAGATACAGTTCAGTTAAATCTCCTGTTTGATTGTTATTAGCATCTGTAATGACCCATGTCTATTAATTTTTCAAAACATTGACTTGCATCATCACTCGGACCCTAACCAGTACGTCCTTAATGAACTGACACGAGCCAATCCTATACAGCTAACATTCATACTCGAGAAAATTTCACAGACTGACTAATAAAAAATCAATTACATCGAAGCTACTGAGATCAATTAATAAAAATTCGACTAAGTTATAGAAGCTGCTATTTCTAAATTATGTAAACAACCAGGTCATTGTGACAGAATTTGAAGACACATTATGAAACAACAATATCACAAACATGATACTGACACATGATATCTAAGATAACAACGGTGGAGTCCTATGGAAAAATGTACAACCACAACTAACGAAGGTCGGAAGTAAAACCTGTAAAAACATCAAACTACTTAATTTTATTAGGTAACATAAACTTTACAAACAAAATTGATAACATATGTCTTTGACTAGTGATCGCTGTGTTTTGCTGGATGAGGACACACCATTTCCGTTCCTCTGCGATGATCATGTTGACTGTCCACTCACAGTGTGTTTTTTAGTTATGGCTGGTGTTGACCACGCCTATCAGTACTCTGTGGAAGTGAAGAGCAGGTTCTCACTGTTCCTGGACGACACTCTGAATAGTGAAGACCCGGATATCCTGCTATCCAAGTTGCAGAGTAAACGAAGTGAAAAGACTAAAAAGGATAAGCCACATGTGCAACAGCAACATGTGGCACCTGCAAAGGTCGACACGACAACTAAGAGTGAGGTGAAGGTTGAGACTGCAGCTCCGAAAGGTAAGCAAATGTGTAATATTAGCTATTTAAGTTGGTTCTCGAGTGTCGAAAACCACCAACGTCACAGAGCCGCCACCAGTGCCACCTGAAGACGTACAAATCACATCCACAAAGGGGACAGATGAATCAATTAGTGCCTTTGTGCGTGGTCGTGGTTCAGGTAGAGGAACACCTCGAGGGATGCGTGTAGGCAGAGGACAAGGGCCTCGAATGGCTCCGACAGAAGCACCTCAAGATTCAGTGAGTGATTTGAATGCTACCAGGTAAGCTTGTTGTGATCTCAGTGGTTACTTACAAGAGGGCCAAGCTTCGAGCCTAGGGGACGTGGGAGAGGTAGAGGAAGAGCAATGTTTGGTCGAGGTCGTGGGATGCCATTCAATTCGAACCGAGACTTCGACAATCAGGATGGTCCAGATCGTCAGTAAGTGGTTTTTGCTCAAATAATTTTGTAATGATGAACTGTTATCCCTGTCCTATGCAATGCGGAAACACAGTCTGATGCATGTTTAGGCTTACATAACTCGGTTAACAATAGCCTTTTATTCTGTAGGGGCCCAAGACAATATGGTCGAAGAGATGGAAATTGGAATGCTCAGGATGTTGATGGTCAAACAATGCCTGAGAGTGGTGACTCGGAGCAAGTTGTGCGTTTCTCAGACGATCGTAACGAGGTCGAGGACCATTCAGAGCATGCCACAGCGGAGAATGAGGAGGGTGTAGTTGCCAACGCAGAAACCCCAGTTGAGGAAGAACCGAAAAGCTACACATTGGAAGAATACAAGGCCATGCGCCAGTCTTCCAAACCAGCCATCTTACTGAACAGCAAGGGTCTACGCAAAGCTAATGATGGCAAAGATGTGTTTGCAAACATGGTGGCTCACAGAAAAATACAGGAGGTCCACGAGGATATCTACGAGGTGGAGGAGAAGGAAAACGAGCCTGAGGTATGTTTCGTTTTTATGTATTTACACTAGATTCGATATAGGAGCATCAGTCGATCGACATTGATTTTTCTTTCGCTGACAACTTTGGAAGCCGTAGAAGAGGTGGGCGAGGATTTGAAAGCAGAGGGTTCGATCGTGGGCGTGGTGTTGCACGCGGTGCGGGACCAAGAAGTGAACGTGGGGGTCGAGGAAGAGGTCAGATGAGGAGTGACGGGCGAGGTCGTGGTTTCGGCCGTGTTCTGCCTATTAACGATCACATTCCACCTCCAGCAATTTACAACGACCAGGAGTTCCCTTCCTTGAAGTGAATTCCTAAAGGAAAATTGAAACAGACTGTTGGATTAATAATATTCTTCCTTGTCAACTCTTACTTCCTCAAAGGCTTTTAGTCCAAGCCTCTACTTACCCATACTCATCCCTCCCTATTAAACTTCAGCTTTGTAATTTAGTTTCTCCTAAAAGCAGTTCGAGGACTGGATTTGGCTGTGCTGCTTGAGAGCTAATTGCAAAGCTTTGTACATGAGTGTTTTCAGAATGTTACAGTTTTGCGGTTGATGTGATCAATCGCCCTAAATAAACATTAATAAGATTACCTTCTTCAGCTTTTTCACAGTGTGTTTGTACTGATTCCTGTTTGGGTATGTTGAAGTGTTTGTGCTTTGGACGCACATGGGATAACGCTTTTAGCAACATAGTTCCTAACTCCAGCATTCTCACAGGGGTCTGTCTGCGGTTCTCACCTATCTCGTGATAAGTGCCAGGCATCTATGCCGGTCTAGTGTACAAACATCATACTCACATCGCATGAGACAACTAGGAGTAGTTCGGTGTGGTGCGGTTAGACTCGTTTCCAGCTAGTGTGTTCGTGTTGGACTACTTTCACTGTTCGCGATAGCTGTTAGTAGCCGAGTGTGATCCTAAAGTATGGTTGTGTGGGTTTGTATAACGTTAGATTCGTGTCTGGTTTGCTGGCAACTTGGTTGGGATGACTCGAACGGGGTGAGCATTTGTGTTGGGCTCGTACTCCAGTAGACCAAGGATGTTGAACCTGGCAACTCATGCTTGATAGATACGAACCACACTAATGGTCGCCTGGCTCGGTCTTGTATGGACTTTGCACTATGAGGTGGCTGTATTGTGGCCAACCATCTCTGTTATGTTCATCGAATGGGCGTTGTGCGCGTCAGGATTACAAGGTTGTTGGGATACTCTTCACATTGCCCAGAATTTTCTCATGCTTGCGACGGCCGTTAACTGTACAGTGATTCACATTCAGTCGGCTACAACGCAGGACCAGGCACATGCATGCATCGGCCAAGATACCGTACCTCATTAGCACAACAACATGAACAACAAATTCATATAAGCAATTACTTCAGTGGTAGTAATAAATGAAAAAGGGTTGTGTATGAAAATATGATACGGGGAGAAAGAATGAGTTCGTTGAAAGGAAGATATAAAGTAAGTTTGATCTCACGGTTTAAGGGAAGACGAAATGTATACACCTACTTGGTTGTGGTCGATTCTGAGCCATGTCACCCAAAGTCTCCAACCATTGGTTACGATAGTCGCGCGGACCCCAACCAAGTAGTCTGCATTCACGAGATGATTGCAATTGCTAATCACCTGAAGGAGATGATGAAAGGTGGGAAGTAAGTTCACGAATGGGTGTGCGGTGAGACTTTTCACGTTGTAGAAGCCTACCAAATCAGTTCATTACATTTCGCAATGATTCGTTTTGTCTTGGAAAGGCTCGTGGTAGTCGTGACTATCAAGGTCTCTCAGTTTGTGCAGTCTCCTTCCGAGTAAATTTATGGAAGATGTTGTCGGCACGCGTTGATACGGAATGCTTCAAGCATTTATAGCTCGGTTTGAACGTCGGTAGTCAGCTGGAAGAATTTGGTCCTGAGTTCATGGCCTCTCCTGTGTGCGGCAAATCTACAGTTGTGGAAGGTAAGAAAATGAGGGTATATCAAGTGTGAGGTTATCGTTAAGTGATGTGAAGACTGCGGTCAGGTCACCTCGTATTCTTTCGTATGATTCAGCTTTGTTAAGCGTCAGGCCATTTCGTCAGTTAATTTGGGTCTTTCTATAGCCCCGCGGTACCTCGTTCTCCTAGTATCTCTCTCCATGTGATGGTATTATCGGTATGTAGGAAGACTGATGATGATGGAAAATACTGGACGAGTCACTTACGTGTAAAACAAGTATTCCTGGCTCTGAGAGTGTCCTGAGGAACACTGATACGCACTGTTTTTCAGCCAGTCAGCGTAGAATCAATGCATAGTACCTATCCACACCCAACGGGAAGGTTGTTCAACCATGACGGAAACCGCCCACCACCCATATGTCCCCTTATCTATACAGCAATCTGGTATCTAGGATTTGGTGATGGCGTATCCACTCGTCCAATACTATCATCGTAGCCAATTACTTATGTGGCAATTTCACATTAGTACTATCACAACTTGCCAATTCAGACGTTGCTCTAGGGAATAGTCTATCTTGAAGACAAACGTAACGAATGTTCGTCATCTCAAAAACAAACCATTTCATGGTCAGAACTCAATATTTGTAGCTTCACCCTTTCATCCTCATTCGTTTAGAGACAACGTCAATTGCGGAATGATGGTTATCATGTTGTGGTCGAACGGGTTCGGTCACGTGACTGAAGACCACAAAAATAATCTGCAAGACAGCAGTGACTGAGAAAAGCTTGTTAGTGTTCGCCACCACAATGAGTCATTCATTTTGGTCGTTTCACACCGAATGTTCAAACGGTTCAAATGGTTGTGGACGGAATAGAAGAAACTTTCGCTTAACGAGCTTCCGTGTCATGTAGCAGTGGATCACCAATACCTCTAGGCAGGACCCCAGGTATGTTAACGATAATAGAGGAAAAATTGGTAAATCATAGTAAGATATTATTCCTATTCCTTAAGAACAGGTCAAGTTGCCTTTTAAAGTACTCCTGAGAAGTCTCTTGAACTAGCTCAGCATTTGTAAACTCTTAAGGAGTAGAATTTGTGTCTAAAATCCATTCTCCTGTGTTGTGTCTCTAGTTTATGGGCACTACCCCTTAAGTTTGTGTTGGAGCTAAACTTGAGTAGGTGTTTAAGAGGATGTCCAGAAGTGTTAAGGACACTGTAGGCCATTAGAAGGTCACCTCGAAGACGCCTATACTCTAGTGAGTAAAGGTTTAGTGATTGAAGGCGCTTTTCATAAGGCATGAATTTGAGTCCCCGAACTGATTTCGTGGCTCGCCATTGGATACGCTCCAGAGGGTCCTTATAGTTTTGGAGTGAGGAAGGAAATTCTATGCTTCCGCATCCTAAATGAAGACGAATAAAACTGTTGAAGATTATGTGGAACGTTCTACCGTCGAACTGGCCAAAAATGCGCTTCAATATTACCAGTGTAGGGTTTGCTAGAAAGGCATTTTTGTCACAGTTAGCGTAAGACTTAAAATCTCAGGGTACCAGCCTCCTAAATCTTCTTCAGCTTGGGAGTGCTGGTACCTACGATGTCAACCTAAACACTTTAGGAAACGGTACCAAGCTATACAGACCTCACATATAGATTAATTATTGAGGGATTATAGTCAGCATGCAATCGGCCATTGCATCGAGTGCCTACTAACTCTTGTGGGCCACCGCACATTGACTGTTGAATTCTGATAGTGCATCCCGCAATTTTCTCGTCTGAAATCACTTCTTAGTTAATGAGGACCGTAAGAACCATCAAAAAATAATACCGACCGCCTCTTACCGTTCAATTGTCTTTGACTAGTGACCGCTGTGTTTTGCTGGATGAGGACACACCATTTCCGTTCCTCTGCGATGATCATGTTGACTGTCCACTCACAGTGTGTTTTTTAGTTATGGCTGGTGTTGACCACGCCTATCAGTACTCTGTGGAAGTGAAGAGCAGGTTCTCACTGTTCCTGGACGACACTCTGAATAGTGAAGACCCGGATATCCTGCTATCCAAGTTGCAGAGTAAACGAAGTGAAAAGACTAAAAAGGATAAGTCACATGTGCAACAGCAACATGTGGCACCTGCAAAGGTCGACACGACAACTAAGAGTGAGGTGAAGGTTGAGACTGCAGCTCCGAAAGGTAAGCAAATGTGTAATATTAGCTATTTAAGTTGGTTCTCGAGTGTCGAAAACCACCAACGTCACAGAGCCGCCACCAGTGCCACCTGAAGACGTACAAATCACATCCACAAAGGGGACAGATGAATCAATTAGTGCCTTTGTGCGTGGTCGTGGTTCAGGTAGAGGAACACCTCGAGGGATGCGTGTAAGCAGAGGACAAGGGCCTCGAATGGCTCCGACAGAAGCACCTCAAGATTCAGTGAGTGATTTGAATGCTACCAGGTAAGCTTGTTGTGATCTCAGTGGTTACTTACAAGAGGGCCAAGCTTCGAGCCTAGGGGACGTGGGAGAGGTAGAGGAAGAGCAATGTTTGGTCGAGGTCGTGGGATGCCATTCAATTCGAACCGAGACTTCGACAATCAGGATGGTCCAGATCGTCAGTAAGTGGTTTTTGCTCAAATAATTTTGTAATGATGAACTGTTATCCCTGTCCTATGCAATGCGGAAACACAGTCTGATGCATGTTTAGGCTTACATAACTCGGTTAACAATAGCCTTTTATTCTGTAGGGGCCCAAGACAATATGGTCGAAGAGATGGAAATTGGAATGCTCAGGATGTTGATGGTCAAACAATGCCTGAGAGTGGTGACTCGGAGCAAGTTGTGCGTTTCTCAGACGATCGTAACGAGGTCGAGGACCATTCAGAGCATGCCACAGCGGAGAATGAGGAGGGTGTAGTTGCCAACGCAGAAACCCCAGTTGAGGAAGAACCGAAAAGCTACACATTGGAAGAATACAAGGCCATGCGCCAGTCTTCCAAACCAGCCATCTTACTGAACAGCAAGGGTCTACGCAAAGCTAATGATGGCAAAGATGTGTTTGCAAACATGGTGGCTCACAGAAAAATACAGGAGGTCCACGAGGATATCTACGAGGTGGAGGAGAAGGAAAACGAGCCTGAGGTATGTTTCGTTTTTGTGTATTTACACTAGATTCGATATAGGAGCATCAGTCGATCGACATTGATTTTTCTTTCGCTGACAACTTTGGAAGCCGTAGAAGAGGTGGGCGAGGATTTGAAAGCAGAGGGTTCGATCGTGGGCGTGGTGTTGCACGCGGTGCGGGACCAAGAAGTGAACGTGGGGGTCGAGGAAGAGGTCAGATGAGGAGTGACGGGCGAGGTCGTGGTTTCGGCCGTGTTCTGCCTATTAACGATCACATTCCACCTCCAGCAATTTACAACGACCAGGAGTTCCCTTCCTTGAAGTGAATTCCTAAAGGAAAATTGAAACAGACTGTTGGATTAATAATATTCTTCCTTGTCAACTCTTACTTCCTCAAAGGCTTTTAGTCCAAGCCTCTACTTACCCATACTCATCCCTCCCTATTAAACTTCAGCTTTGTAATTTAGTTTCTCCTAAAAGCAGTTCGAGGACTGGATTTGGCTGTGCTGCTTGAGAGCTAATTGCAAAGCTTTGTACATGAGTGTT